CGGAGCACGGGATCTAGGCATGCAGGCTTCACTAGTTGTGGCAGGTGGGCTCAGTAGTTGTGACTTGTGGGCTCTAGAGCACAGGCTCAGTAGTTGTGGTGCATGGGCTTAACTGCTCCGTGGCATGTGGGATCTTCCAGGACCAGGGCTTGAACCCGTGTCCCCTGCACTGACGGGCGGATTCTCAATGACTGTGCCACCACGTGAAGCCCCTAGTGTTTAGTTTAAGAGCACAAATTCTGTGGTCAGATTCACTCATTCATATCTTGCCTTGGTCTATAATTACCTGCTTGATCTTAGTCTGGCTATTTAATCTCTCTGCAGTCCTTTCTTCATCTGAAAAATGGGAATTATAATAGGATTTACATGAAAGGGTTATTCTGAAGATTAAATAGGTTAATGTATATCGGAGTTTTTCAGCCTCAGCACTATTGACTTTTTTGACTGAACAACAAATTCTTTGTTGAGGGGATACCACAGGATTATAGAATATTTAACAGTTTCCCTGGTCAGTACCCATTGGATGTCAGTATCACCCTCCCACTCCCAAGTTGTGATAACCTAAAATGTCATATGTCTGCTGTTGTAAAATAATTGTTGGCCGGTTGAGAACCACTGATCTATGTATATATGTATATACATATGTAGGACATATCTTAGAACATTGCCTGTTATTTAATAAGTGCTATCAGGGCTTCCCTGGTGGCGCAGTGGTTGAGAGTCCGCCTGCCGATGCAGGGGACACGGGTTCGTGCCCCGGTCCGGGAAGATCCTACATGCCACAGAGTGGCTAGACCTGTGAGCCATGGCTGATGAGCCTGTGTGTCCGGAGCCTGTGCTCCACAACGGGAGAGGCCACAACAGTGAGAGGCCCGCGTACCGCAAAAAAAAAAAAAAAAAAAAATGTGCTATTAGAATTAGTTTTACTATTATTTTTACTTGCATTATTATCAGTGACTTTGAACATATTTTAATGCATTTATTAACTGTTTGTATTCTGTGAATTGCCTAATCAAATCCTTTGTGCTGATTTTGATTTTTCTGATCTCCAAAATAAAAAATAGGTTTCAGGGATATTAGTCTTTATCTGTTTTTTGCAAGACATTTTCTAGTTGGTATTGTTAGTGTGCTAGTTCATGTGAATAGTAAACTACTCATTTCTACATATTGATTTATCACAGTCTATCTTCAAGTAATATTATACCACTTCATTCATAGTATAAGAACCTTAAAAGAGTGTGCTTCCATTTCTTCTCTACCAGCCTTTGTGCTAATGTTGTGCTACATTTTACTTCTGTGTATTTTAGAAATCCCACAGTACATTATTATCATTGCTTTAAACAATCAGTTATCTTCTAAAGGTATATAAAAAATAAGATTTTATAATACTCACAGGTTTTTCATTTCTGCAGCCCTTCATTCATTTGGGTAGATCCAGATTTCTATCTGAAGGACATCCTTTAACATTTTTGCTAGTACATGTATGCCACTGCTGACTTGCTTTAGCTTTTGCATACCTGTAGAAGGTTTCATTTTGCCTTCTTTTTTTTTTTTTTTTTTTTTTTTTTTGCGGTATGCGGGCCTCTCACTGTTGTGGCCTCTCCTGGTGTGGGGCACAGGCTCCAGAGGCGCAGGTTCAGCGGCCATGGCTCATGGGCCCAGCCGCTTTGCGGCATGTGGGATCCTCCTGGACCGGGACACGAACCCACGTCCCCTGCATTGGCAGGCGGACTCTCAACCACTGCGCCACCAGGGAAGCCCCTTGCCTTCATTTTTGAAATATATTTTCACTGGGAATTCAAGGTTGACAGTTTTCTTCTTTCAATCCTGTAAAGATGTTTTTCCATTGTCTTCTGACTTGCACTGTTTACAGGAGAAGTCTGTGTTTATCTGCGCTGTTCTTGTACCTGTAGTAAATTTGTTTTCTCTGGCTGTTTTAAAATGTTTCTCTTTAGGTCTTTTTTCAGTTTCATGCTGAATAGTTTCTATTGCTGTATCTTCAAGTTCACTAATCTTTTCTTCTGCAGTGTCTAGTCTGTTATTGATCACATCCAACGAGTATATTGTTCATCTCAGACATTTTTAGAGTTGGAATTGGGTCTATTTGATATCTTCCATATTACTCCATATCACGTTCATGTTTTCCTCCACCTTTTTAAACATATGTATGTATAATATGTATTTTACTATCCTTATCTACTAATTTTATTATGTATGTCATTTCTGGTTTTGTTTCTGTTGATGATCTTTTCTCTTTGTATGAGTCATATTTTCTGTCTTTGCATATCTGGTAATTTTTATTGAATACCAGGCATTATAAACTTTTCATTGTTGAGTGATAGACTTTTATTCCTTTAAATATTTTTCAGTTTTATTTTTAAATATTTTAAATATTTATTAAATATTATTCAGTTTTATTCTGGGATACAGAATAAAATTTACAGAATAAATAAATAAATAAACACAGAATAAAATTTACTATACCTATGTTTTTCAACGAGAAGGAGGCTGTGGGTACTGTCATATGCTTTACAGGATATATAGCACCCTTGGTCCCTGACCATTAAATACAGTAGGCACCTGGTCAGTGTGACAATCTGAAACATTCTCACAAATTTTCATATCCATCTTTGGTTTTTTAAAAATTTATTTATTTATTTTGCCTGTGTTGGGTCTTTGTTGCTGCGCGAGGGCTTTCTCTAGTTGTGGCAAGCGAGGACTACTCTTTGTTGTGGTGCATGGGCTTCTCATTGCAGTGGCTTCTCTTGTTGTGGAGCATGGGCTCTAGGCATGTGGGGTTCAGTAGTTGTGGCTTGCAGGCTTAGTTGCTCTGCAGCATGTGAGACCTTCCCCAACCAGGGTTCATGCCTGTGTCCCCTGCATTGGCAGGCAGATTCTTAACCAGGGAAGTCCCATATCCCTCTTTGATATGACATCTAAAGTTGGAACAAGACAAGGGTGTCCAGTGACACCACACTCTTTGGAAATATTAGTCAAGAAAAGAGATAAAAGAGATATAAATTTGGAGAAGAGGATTTAAAATTTTCCATACAGATAATTTGGCTGCATACTTGGAAAAATCTGAGAATCACTACAAGCTTATTAGAAACAATAGGAGAAATCCATATATAATATTAAGATATACTAATAAGTATAACATTCTTTTTTTTATAGAAATAAGTTTTAATTTTCTGAAGTAAAAAAACTTAACAAGATTTAGTTGATAACCTAGTTACCTCATACAGCACTTTTTTTCCTTTAAAATACTCAAATACTCTTGCATTGCATTCTTTAGAAAACAGACCAGAAGATACTTGCATTTAACAAGTTCTGTGAAGAACATTCAACCACATCCATGTTTTTCATGATACTGGAAATACTGTTATATGTCAATTTAACCTATCTCTTAGAAGAAAAACTAAGACAATTGAAATAACTAGTTTTCTAATCTTTAGTTCTGTTTCCACAAATAAAACCTATCACTTTTCACAATGAGAAAGCCAAAAATAATATACAAACCAAAAGAGCTAACCTGAAATCACTTATCCCCTTTATCAAGATAATAGGTTAAGTGCAGATCAACAAAACAAGAATAGTTACTGTTTTTTTAACCATTTAACTAACTCTGGCTCAAAGTTAATAAATAACAGCTATGTACAACCCGTAAATGTATATAAATTCCATATCACATCTTCCCTATTTTGTAAGGAAAGAAAATAGTTTTAATGTGTAAGAGGAAGAATAGTAAAACATATTACTAAAAGGCAATTTTGCCACTGTCACTGCTCAAGAAGTATACCAGTAACCTTCTGGCAAACAGCTGCTGCCCATGCCCCAAAACGTGAGATTAGGTGATTCTAAGTAAGCATGAGGAAAAAAATTACAACATTTTTTGTCCCTATTCATAATGCTCTCCCAGCCCCAGAAAATCAGGTTAAATGGATTTTGCAGAGCATTTCTACCTAGTCTAACAACTTAATGTAAACAAAAAGCAACATTCATTTTTAAGTAAAAATCATAACACTGATTTTGAAACTGAATGGGATTCTCATCATATAAGACAGTAAGCTAAACAGCAAATTCTTGTGTAGAGACAATTATTTACCATAATCAATTCAAGTCTAACTAGAAGTTCTCAAATTACTTATTTTCAACTCAAGTAAAGACAATTAGGCTACTGCAGTCAGTTCCTCGTCTGTGTCGGTTGATTCATCTTTCAGTTCCAATTCTCCTAAATCTCTGTCTACAGCTGTCACAGTTTTCTTCTTACACTTCTTAGGCACTGCATCATTAGCACAGATTTTTCTCATTTTAATGTTTGGCAGTTTCTTCAGATCAAAATCCCATTCCCTGCATTTAAAATGTCTGGAATCTTGGGCTTCCCTGGTGGCACAGTGGTTGAGAGTCCACCTGCCAATGCAGGGGACATGGGTTCGTGCCCCGGTCCAGGAAGATCCCACATGCCACGGAGCAGCTGGGCCCGTGAGCCATGGCTGCTGTGCCTGCGTGTCCAGAGCCTGTGCTCCGCAACGGGAGAGGCCACAGCAGTGAGAGGCCCGCGTACTGCCAAAAAAAAAAATAATGATAATAAAATAAAATGAAATGTCTGGAATCTCAAGGCCGCAGCTCCCTGTACTGCTGCCGCTTTCGCTCCATTGTCTGCTTGATGACCTCCTCGGGAGAAGTGCTGCCTGCCCTGCCTGTCCTTGATGCTGCTGTGTAACTCAATCTGCTCCAGCTCACTGCTGAACTGATTTAAATACCTTTCAGCTAATTCACAAGCGTCTCTCTTTGAATATTCTACGTTTTGGGGATCAAGATAATTTTGAAACCGCTGCAGTTTTTCACAAATAAGGTTGAGATGCAACGCCTTTTCATTCTTCAGTTTTTCCTTTTTTTCTAGTTTGTGGGCCTCTCTTGTAATTTGAGCTGCTTTTCTACTATATGGATGGATGACTTTTTTTTTTCTTGTCCTACACTTTTTCCCTTTGGTGCTTTAGGCATGGCGACGTCCTTGTGGCCTGGGACCTCCAGATCTCCAGCTCCACGCTGTGGGACCTCAGGGTCTGCGGCGGCAGCAGCTCACGAAGCAACTCCCAGTATAACATTCGATTGAAAGTTATTTCACTTGGCACTTTGAAAATACTATTTCATTCTTTTTCAGGCTTCCATCACTTCTGTTGAGAACTTAGAGGCGATAAATCATATTTGTTCTTTGGTTAGGTGTATGTCATTTCCCTTTGGATATTTTTGAATTTTCACTTTGAGTTTTGGTGTTCTGCAGTTTTACTTCCATGTGTCTAGGAGTGGATCTCTTTTTCCTGATCCTGCTTGAAATTGTGGGGTTGTCTCATCCTGAGGTTGTGTGTCTTTTACCAGCTCTAAAATATTCTCTGCCCTTACCTCTTTGGTTATTACCTTCCCTCAAGTTTTCTGTTCTTCCCTCAGACTCAGAATAGGTGTAAATTCAACATTCTCACTCTACCCTTCATATCTCTCAACCTCGCTTTTGGATTTTCCATCATTGTCTTTTGCACTTCAGATCTGTTGTCTAGTTCACCATTCTCTCTATGTCATGTCAAATTGGTAGTCAATCTATAAATTGAAATTCCTAATTTCAATTACTGTATTTCTTGTTTTGAGAATTCATCTTTGTTTCTTCAAGTTAGCCCACTCATCTTTAAGACTCTGTTATGCCTTTGCACATATTAAACATTGTTTATATTCAGTGTCTTACAATAGCATCATCAGGTTTTTCATGTTTAATTCTAGTGCTTATTGTTTCTGTTTAACTTGTGCACAGTGAAGGCTTCTTGAGAGCAAGAATACATGTGTTTGTTTTGATATCACCTGCATGTAGTTCAGTGCACGCACATATGCACACAGATGGCAGATCTATCAAGGTTAACAAGAGGTTTTAATGACCACGTTTCAGAAAACCTTCTGAATTACTGAGGGGGTGGGTGGCTGAATCACAGCAGCAGGATATCTGTATAAGACTTTCCATTCTTCCACACAATATCATGTAAATCACCTATATAGATACAGCCTACACAGTAGAAATGATTAGAGTAGACTTCTGTACTTCTCTTCCAAACCATCAAATGATCACCCCAGATTAAAGAAGAATTCATTACTACAGGAATCATTATTATTTGAAGATGTAGCTGTGGAGTTCACCCGGGAGGAGTGGAGGCTACTAGACCCCGCTCAGAAGGACCTGTACCAGGATGTGATGCTAGAAAACTATAGCAACCTGCTGTCCGTGGGTAAGAACTGCTTCCCTGTGCCACTCGGGGTGCCCGATCAGCAGTCTTTCCTTTCTCAGTTGTGCGGTGATTTGGGGGCAGGTATCTGAAGTGTGAAGAATGTAAGAGAGATTGTCAAACTTTTTCTGCGAAGGGCCAGATAGTAAGTACTGCAGGCTGTTTGGGCTACCTACTGTCTCTATAATTATATTCTGGTTTTTTAAAATAACACTTATTTTATTTTATTTGTTTTTTCAGCACACACATATTTTTATTTATCAATTACATAAGTATTCTACTAAATTTATTATATGCACTGTAAAATATACTTAAAAATAGAAACGTCAAAAGGATGAAACATCAGTGAGATAAATATTTTTAAGTGGTTTTCATTTTTAAAATTTCATGGTACAAAACACTTTTGCTATCATGTGTTAGAAGTTTGCCTTCACTTTTCGAATACTCTGTTTTGTAAGAGCACCTTATTCTGAATTAATAATGCTTTTAAAATGTAAATAAATGCCTTAGTTACAGCCACGGACCATAGTTTGCTGGCCCCTACATAAGACTTGAATTTTATAAGTGACAGATTCTCCGTCTCCTCTCAGGCCTCAGATAGAGGGAGGAGTATGTTTTCCCTACTCCAAGGGGAAAACTCTTTTCCAAGGTACCGTCACACAACCTATAAAAGGTATCATTTAACAATGTTTAGATCTCACGCCCAAAGACATTTTCCTAAATATTCTGTTATCTTCCGCGAATAGGGTATCAAAGTCCCAAACCAATTCATATCTTCAGGTTGAAGCAAAGAGACAAACCATGGTTAGAAAAGGAAAACATCCACGGTCAGAACTTTCCAGGTAAGTGAATGAGAAACATCCAGGTAGAAAAGAAGTAAATTCCTAGATTGGTGGAGGCCTCACACCTTTGAAGTAGTGTTGAAGTGACTCATCTTCCGGTTTCTAACCTTTTGACAGTATCTAAACAGAGCCCCTGAGTATTACTCTCCTATGTTAACATTCATTGCTTAAGCATTTAGAGGAAAATACTCCTGTGTTCTCACCCCTGGATTTGATACTGATTTATTTCATGTAGGATCTTGATTTGTTTTGCTTAGATGTTTTTCTTTCTGAGGATTCTCAAATTTTTCGCTTCTTCATTGACTGCCATAGTATCACTGCTTGTTCCTTCCTCTTCCCTTGCTTTGAAAATTCAGTCTGCCACGCCTCTGTGCAAAGAGAGAACTTCCAATTCACCATCGTCTTCTGACTACTGAGCCTTGGGTAATATTGATTTCCTTCCTAACATTCAGCCCCACCCAGGGTGCTGTGTTCCCATGGTAACCTGGTCTTTTAATGTGCATCTGTCTGTTTCCTTATTCTGACTGGGCAAATATGAGCTAAAGCAAATGTAGCAAAACGTTAACTATAGAATCAAAGAGGTGGATATATGGCTGTTCACTGTGTAATTCTTTCAATTTGTTTGTCTGTTTGAAAATTTTTGTAGTAAAATGGTAAGGGAAGAGCTATAAGTATTGTAATTTTCGGAGTGAATTGTGCCTCCCACACACACTGAAATAAAGGAATTCACTCAAATAAAAAAACAAAAACAGAAAATTCACAATCTTAGACCCCACCTGAAATCAAACCATAAACCTCATGCATACTTTGCTGATTTCTCTGTATATTTGCTGGATCAGGTATTTATCTTGATTCATCTTAGTTACTCTCAGTTTAATTTCCCGAGTCTAAACAATTCTAGTTATAACCCTACTACCAACTATGGGATATTTAAATCCCTCTGTGATCAAGGGACTGCAAGATACAACGTGATGCTTACATAGAATTTTCTTTCCATTCCCTAAATTCAAAGTCAGCTTCATTTAAACCAGTCTCTACAATGCCCGCCACACATATTGTTTCATTGATTCATTCCCTCAACAAGTATTTTTAATGCCTAATACACGGTGCTATGTAGTGTGCTTTATATTATGTGGCTACAGCAGAGAATAAAAGGGACTAAGTTATTACTCTCACAGAACTTGCATTCTAAGTGGGGGAGGTACACAAGAAATATACAAATTTTTCTGGTGGTAATTAGAACCATGGAGAACAATGTAGGAGGTGGTGAATGTCAAGCAATAGGAGGGCCTGATGTTTTATACACAACGGACAGGGAATGCCTCTCTGCTCTACTAGGGTGGCTGAGTGGAGTGAGGGATGATCCATGGGTAGGCCTGGGAAAAGTGTACCAGCAGTGGTGGTCCTGAGGCAGAGGTGTACCTGGCGTGTTTGAGGACTGTCCAGGAAGCCTGTGTGGGGAGAGCAGAGCGATCAAGAGTGGAAGTGATACTCATGAGGTGAGAAAGGGGCCCACACGATGCAGGCCACTGTAGGCCATTTTAAGGACTTAGGATTTTTTTTTTCAGAATGACAGTTATTGAATGGTTTGGGGCAGAAGAGTGACATGATCTGGCTTATGCTTTGGGGTTTTTGTTTGTTTGTTTTGGCCACGCTGCACAGCTTGTGGGTTCAGTCCCCCGACCAGGGATTGAACCCAGCCCTGGCAGTGAAAGTGCCGAGTCCTAACCACTGGACTGCCAGGGAATTCCCTCTCTGGGAATTTCTATACAGGCACAGCTCATTTTATTGTGCTTTGCTTTATTGTACTTCGCAGATAGTGTGTTTTTTGCAACTGAAGGTTTGTGGGGAATTCCTTGGTGGTCCAGTGGTTAGGACTTTGCACTTCCACCACAGGGGGCACGGGTTTGATCCCTGGTCGGGGAAGTAAGGTCCCACAAGCCTCGTGGTGCAACCAAACCAAACCAAACCAAACAAAACAAATTGAAGGTTTGTAGCAGCCCCGTGTCAAGCAAGTCTTTCAGCACCATTTTTCCCAACAGCGTTTGCTCGCTTTGTGTCTGCATCACATTTTCGTAATTCTCTCTATATTTCAAACTTTTATTATTATTATATTTGTTATGGTGATTTGTAATCAGTGATCTTGGATGTTACCTCTATGACTTGCTGAAGGCTCAGATGATGGTTAGCATTTTTTAGTGAGAAAGTATTTTTAAATTAAGTGTACACTGTGTACACTATGTTCACTGTTTTAGACATAATGCTATTGCACACTTAATAGACTACAGTATTGTGGAAACATAACTTTTTTTTTTTCTTTTTTTTTTTTGCGGCACTCGGGCCTCTCACTGTTGTGGCCTCTCCCGTTGCAGAGCACAGGCTCCAGACGTGCAGGCTCAGTGGCCATGGCTCACGGGCCTAGCTGCTCCACGGCACGTGGGATCTTCCCAGACCGGGGCACGAACCCGTGTCCCCTGCATTGGCAGGCGGACACTCAACCACTGTGCCACCGGGGAAGCCCTAAACATAACTTTTATATGCACTGGGAAACAAAAAAGTTCACGTAACTAGCTTTATTGCACTGTTTGTTTTATCGTGGTGGTCTGGAACTGAACCTGGAATATCTCCAAGGTATGCCTGTACAGATAATCCCAAATTTGTCCTCTAGCCAAAGTCTTCTCCAAATTCCTCTCTCCAGTTGAGTTCTTCATGTCTGCATCAAGATATCCATCTCAAAATGTTTATGTCAAAATACACACCTGATTGTCCCACATTCAAAACCTGTCTCCCTGATGTTCCTCAACAACTTAGCTGGTACGTCTAGTCATTTAAGCCAAACACCTAGGGAAAACCCTTGATTCCTTCCTTTTACTTACATTGAATTCAACACTGAATGTTGTTTTTTCCTTCTCCTAGATGTACCTTGAGTTCATCTGCTTCTCCACATGTACACTATTGTTGGTCCACATCAAGCCACCATTATCTCTTCCCTGGATTACTTCCTTAACTTCCTCTCTCCTACACTCCTTCCCCTTCCATCACTATCTATGTAGCAGTCAGCAACCTCTTGGAAATATAAATCAGAACCCCCCCACCTTCTCACAACTTCCAGTGGCTTGCCACTAGTCTTAGCGTCAAATTCAGATTCTTCCTACCAGACCTACGTGATATGCCTTCTGTCTACCTTTTGAACTTCAGTGCTTCCTTCTCCCTATATAGCTATTCCACTCAGGGCCTATTGGCTACCTTTCTATTTTTTTTTTTTTTTTTTTTTTTTTTTTTTT